AGGTGGTATACATTGGAATTTCAAACCAAATCCTTTATTTTGTCCACTGGTGTAGATTGTTCTAGTTCCACATGCCATGCCTCTTCCAGATATCTCAGTTTCAGTTATTTCCCTTTAGTAACTGAATTCTCCAAGTTTTTTTCAGTCCAAGAAGGAATATGATTGGCTGGTGTCAGCCATAAATACAAGCTGATGTAGAGGTACAGGACGCCTATTGAGGACGTCTATTGGACTATGCCATTGGCTATCCTATTGGTCGACGCCTATTGCCTACACCTATTGACTGCAATGAGTAACAGTTCCATTACTGCTACCTGATAGATTGTTCTACTTGGTTACAGTAGCCTAAACCACTTAGCTACTTCGATCAAATATATCCCTTCCCAGGACATATATATATATGCATATGATATTATGGTGTGTGGGTACACCTCCACATATCTGGATGACCAATGCCTGGCAGCTGATCTCTCCTCTGTCTTAACACTCACAGCTGAATGGTGAGAGGAGGTTGGCTTGTATCATTCAATACAGGGTGTCTGTGACTTGTGATAGACTTCTGTTTCTACAATGGCTTGTAATGCAATTTTCCATGTAAGTCAGAACGTACCCAGTGTTTTCTTTGAATAAGCACTTACATCACACACCATTGCTAATGCAATAGTAAAGTAATAACCTCGGAGATAGCAACTGTTGTTCATGATGATGGTCGTCTTTGAGTATAGAATCCAGAGGTTAGCAGTGAATATTTCGAAGACAGTAGGAAAGCGTTGTTCAGGTTAGCAGTGGATATTTTGGTAAAAGTAGCAGAGCGTAGTTTGTCGTTCTGTTATCTCTTCGCCTGACAAGCTGGAACTAGACATTCGGGTAGAGTAGACAAAATGGCCGCTTTTATACACGACGGATTGAATGTTCTATGTCTTCTGATTGGTTAACCTTCTATTGGTGGACTATAAAGTGAGTCAAGTCATTTGGGCTAACTCACTAGTACACAGTACCCCAAAAACTGCAACAGCAACACCTTTCTATGACATAAGTTAACATAATTAGGACTAAAAAACACATGGAGGACATAAATATAATACATATAATGAAGTTGTTTTATGCTGCTTGTATATTTATTACTAGTAATGTCATTGGTCTCAGTAGATGAGATGAAAAAGCATAAGACCTTGTCTCTCTTGCAGTACTCAGAAATGACACCAAATCTGAGGAAAAAAAAAAATTAATTTTCTGCCATGTTGTTTGTATGGATGAGGAAAACAACATAAAGATTACTCTTTAAAAAAATCTGGGATCGAATTGATACTATACAGAAGGGTCTTCCTTCTGTTCCTACAATGAATCGTAATGCAACTTTTAGTCTAAGTCAGAATGTACCCAGAATTTTCTCTGAATAAGCACTTACGTCACTCACTTATCCTAATGCAATAGTAAAGTAATAATCTCTGAGATAAAATGTATGTTAACACTTGGAGGACATAAATATAATACATTTGATGAAATGATTTCTTTTCCTGCAATTCCTGCTAGTGGAACACACCTCCATTTACTTGCTTCCCTGATAAATACAATCATCAAAAAATTAAATTCAACATCGGATAGGGTGGACCAACCTTTCCAAGAGCTGGGTGGACTGAGCTTTCTAAGAGAGGGATGGACCATGCATGGGTAATTGAAGGATGAGTGTCAGTGGTTATGAAGGAGTAATTGAAAAAAAAAGTGGGGGGACAGTCAGGGGAGCTGAAATTATCAAAATCTCTAATCATTCCTTTCACCTCATAGCTTCAAACTTGACATTTGCAAATAAAAACAAATCTGGACAAGTGCTACCACATCTGGGCTAGGGCTGCCACATCTGGATAAGTGCTACTGCATCTGGGCTAGTGCTGTCACATCTGGACAAGTGCTGCTGCATCTGAACAATTGTGTTGTCTACTCCTTGCTGGCCTTGACAGAGTTCAAAAGTGATTATACAGCTTTGTGGGTGAAGAATCATTCTCCACCCTGCAACTCTTATCCCCCAAACAAAACATTTTAGCCCCTCATCACTCTATTGCTATTACTATGACAAATTTTCAAACAAGTTATATTCATTGGTCCCACCAGTTCAGGCCTTCACAGGCCCCCTCCATGCCATGTTCATGGCGGTGAATTGCCCCCATTCCCTTCATCTTCCTTTGGTAAGGAGTAAGTTCCATTCAAAGAACTTCTTCCCCAGAACTGTTACTTTGTGGAACATACTCCCGAGAGGATACTTCCCTGACCATTACAATCTTAACCTTTTCAAGTTCAGCGTCAACCGATATCTATCCTACATATTATCATAATAAGGACATCTTATTTCTTCCTTCTCACTTCCTTACAACAAGCTCGTTCATTAACTCGAGTGACAGGTTATTCCATTACATCAAAAACATAAAATATTTTATTTTTGTGTTTTTACAACTAAATGTTTCTTAGCATGTATCAGTTCTTACAGTCCTTGTTTGTAGTTGTTTGTGATGTAATGAATATGCATACACCTGGGTTCCCCCTCACAGTAATATGACTGGCTGGTGTCAGCCATAAATACAGACTAATGTAGAGGTATGGGGATGCCTATTGACTATGCCTATTGCCTACCACTACGATGAGGACCAGTCCATTACGGTTACCTGCTAGATTGTCCTACTTGGTTACAGTAGTCCAAAACCACTTTGCTATTTCGAACAAATATATCCCTTTCCGGGACATATCAGTTTGCTAAGATGAAAAGAAATGTGATTCCTTTGTGTGTAAGTGTGAGAAAAAAGAGGCAAGGAAGAAAGTGAGGAGAAAAGTGTAAATGTCATGTAGCTTGGTGAGGAAGAGTGTAAGTGTCATGTAGCTAATTTAACACCATTTAAAAAATCTTTTAGAATACTCCAAATTGATAGCAGCATTTTACCTTTCCTTTTTATCGTTACTCATTTTTGTACTAACAGGAAGTTAGGAAAAATAATGATTAAACTTTGAATGTTGTAAATTTTAACAAAAAATAATTGACTGAACAACATTTTTTTAATCCTTTCGCCCCCAAGCAAGGCTAAAAAGGCACTATAACAGAAGGGGTTACTGAGTGCTAGAGGATATGAGAAAAAAAAATCCTATTAGAGAGAGAATAATAAAAGAACAAACATTGGATATTTTCTGTTAATTCACCCCAAATAATGTAAAGTTACTTATCACAAATATTAATTTATGCCAAGAAATTATAAATTTTAAATCAAAGTTTGTTTTTTATTAAATTTTTGGCACACTTTTGAAATTATATATTTTAAATAAAACAAAATTTGTTAACTTGCCTTGCAACAATTCCAACCCTCAGAATGAGGAGTTATTCACATTTTGTAAATGCGGATGATATTTGAGGTACTTATAAGGAAATTTTTTACGATTTAAAAAAAAAAAATCTGTTTTTTGGTTTATTTATCAGGGTGAGCACGAATGCAGACTCAACACTTAGAAATAGCACATCCGAGTCACCCACATTTGGGGCAATCGCAAAGGTCAACCCAATCGGAATGCAATGGAAGGGCCTCGCTTTGGGAGAATTTGGTGTGAATTTTAGTAAAAATAAATTCTTTTTATTTGGGGTGAAGTAACAGAGAAAACCAAAGAATAAAGATACTAAAGAATTAAGAAGATAAAATTTTTAAATTTTTAAAGATCAAAGTTGACTAGGAAGAGAGGCCCACAAGCAATAACTGCAATAGAAGAAAAACTGTTGTTAGCATAGAACTTACAGTTACATCTTTTGCACTAAGTCTCTATTTCTTGAGCATTGTCGGGATTTCAAGTTCAACTGTTTGGGGAAATGGAAGGTAAAAACTATAGTGGCAACTATTAGTTGAAGCGAAACTCAGTGAGGAAAGAAAAAAATGATAATGAATTGCGGAATTCTCACTTGTTACTGGTGTAGTCTCGTGGTGGAAATCATTTGTGTAAAAAAAAGAATTGCAACAAAAACCACTATATGTTGCCAACAAGTAGTTCTCTTTGTAGAAGTAACATTGGGGAAAAAAAGACTTAACAGTTTTTGGTAACACGTCCAGTCAGCTTTGAAAGACGGAGCACAGCCGTAACGAAGAAAGAAAAATTACTGCTCCCACAGCTTTTTATTTATTGTGCAAAATACACAATTATGGCACAAGGCCAAAATGGGGAGGGGTTGAGGCTGGTCATCACTAACTATCTTATACCTAGCTAATCATATTCACGACCCATTCATTCATTACAATTTCCACATTCACCACAAGAACTCGTCCGTCACCAATCAATCCTCCATACACCACAATACCTCATTTTTACTAGGGAACTGCTCCCACGGCTTTTGGCAAACTATTTCTTGCAATATATATATATATATATATATATATCTTTGAACACATATGCAAATTTTGACTCCTCTTCAATCTGATGGCGTTGACTTGAACTCATTACAATACATTTTTTTGGTGAAGATGAAATAATATAATGAAAGATATTTTCATCACACCATAACAGTCGAATTCCCTCATTTCTCCCCTCCATTTCCATTGTGAATATGTGGTACATGTAGGATTGGGAGGTGATGGACAAGTTCTTGTGGTGATTGAGTATATTGAATGAATGTATCGTGGTTAACTAGGAGAAATCGGATAGCTAGTGAAAGACCAGCCTATCCCCACTTCTCCTTCGGCTTTGTGCCACAATTTGGTATTTTTTATACAAAATATATTCTCCTCCTCCACTGAGCTTAGCTAAGATAAGTGCACAAAGTTTATACTGTATTTAAAAATCAGGAGAAAAAAATTATGGTCCGTGGTCCACCAAGCAGAATTGCACACAAGCGTAACAATTTTTTTCCGTAGTTGGAATAAAATAACGCTGGTTACTTTCCTTTTGCTATCACCGGATTGATTACTTTTACACCGTATTCACTTTGTTTCCTTTTTTTTTTATTATATTTATTCTCTGAAATTGATTTTTAAGCAAACATGAGGGTTCACGGATATTTAAGTAATAACAAAAACGCACAGGTAAATGTTTTTATATTTCATATCTTCACTCTCCTTATTGTTGTTACGTTTTTTATTCTTAAATTCTCTTCGGAACATTCAGTGACTTTTTATTATTTCAACCCACGTGGGTATTTTTTATTTTTTTACGATTCTCTCTCGAGAATAGTTGACAAAGTTTCATCTAATAATAAAAAAAAAATGATAGTTATTTTATCTTGTATAAAGCATAAATTGGTGCATACGGTATTTGTAAATCGAATTAGCAATCATTTTCCAGTCCTTCGAAGCTGAAAGCCAGATAGCTACAAGCTTGGTGTCTGGGAACTCGTCCTCCAGACAACACTTAAGTTGGGGCGCGTCCTGATGCCTGCAGCAGTTAAAAAAGGATTGTCAATTTCTGGATGACCAAAGATTCTTAGTACCTCGCCTTCACACAAAAAGACCTGTCTGTTGCAGTAACTGTGATTTCCGTTTAGTATTTTTATTTTTAACTTTTAGTTTTTGTCCAAAATTCTCAAACTTTGAGATAATTTTCACTTTTTTTTAAAAATAAGATAAGCGCTTAGCTTAATTGTTAAATTTTCGCTGGTGTTGGATACGAACTGTGACCACAAGTAATCATTTTTTTTATATATATATTCCTATACAATCCAGATCACGAACAAAAAATATTGCTTCTTTATATATTTTTTTAAGTTTTAGGGGTTCAGTTTGCTATGTAAATTACCCCCAACAGAAGATAAAATTAAAATATGCTCTTACGACCTGAATTTTTAAAAAATTTGAAATTCGTAATCTTTAAATTGATAATATGAAAAAAGCCCTCCACTCCAGATTATAAACTTCCAATTTTTTTTTAAATTTATTTATTTATTTAAAAGAAATCATATTGTATGAGCATATTTTCTTTCGTCTTCCGCAGATGGTGGTCAATTTAGCAAACTCTGACTCCCCGATTAACTTTTATAAAATTTTATAATCTTTTATTATTTTTTTTAATGGGTACACACACGTGTTTGAGTCGCTATCCAATTTGTTTTTTTAACAGTGAAAAAATTATTAACAACCGACCTAGATCAAGAAGTCCGACTAAAAAGTTCGCTGTTTAAGAAATTAAAAAAAACACATTGATAGTAATTCAAACTCGTTAAAAATGACGTCTGTAGCAACTAAATGAAATAAATGTCTGATTTAAAAATCCATATTCGTGATTTTGTGTATTATTAGTTAATAACATGTAAGAAATAAATTATTTCTGTTCGCAGTACCTACAATTTCATAAATAATATGAATAAAGAAAGACAAAAAGAGGAAAAAAAATTTAGATGACACATTTCGTCCTCAATGCAAAATAAAAACTTGTTAAAAAGTCAGAGGACAAAATGCGTCGGGTAAGTTTTCCTTTTGTCGTGATTCACATTGTCTTTCTTTTAGTTTTTTTTATTTATATTTTTAAAAACGATGACAATTAATTCTGAGGAAGAACTTATTTCCACCCACGCATGAATTTATCTGGCAAAACGATCACACTCACTCGCAGTAGTTCCGCTTGATTTGATTTATTTTCAAGATAGTTAATTTATTTTAGGATATTTATTTTTAATTTTTTTTTTTTTTTTTTTTTTTACGCCTCTAAACTCCAGTCGAGTTTTTCTGTTTATTTTTTTTTAAATTTTGTGTTATCAATGACATTTCAGACTCCGACAATAATTTCGAATTTTGGACAATTACCGAAACTTCCTTCCTCATCTTAGATTGATTTTATAAATTAAATATTTTTTTTTTTATTATGATATCCATATTTTTAGATTTTTTTTTTTTTCTGGAATGAGCAGCATCAACCACTTGTTGACCAATTGAGTGATGCTTTTTTTTAGGTACCTGCCAAAAAAGTGAATACTTCCCAAGGTTTAAAAAGTGCATTTTAAAAACGAAAAATCTTACTTGAAGCTTTTAATTCCAAGATAGACAAAAAAAAAATTTAATCTTTCAAATAAGCAAAATACTTTGGATTTCAAAGCGAATTTAAATTTATTAGCATTTTTAGACAGAGGGATTGTTTTTCCTCTTTGAAATCGCTAAAGTCGGACAAACAAATCTGCCAAATTCTCTTTATTTAAAAATGATCTACATTTCTGAAATTTTGAGGAAGATTAACTAATTTAAAGTTCAATTAAATCTTTTGGTCATTAAAGTAAAAGAGCACGTCAATATTGTAAAAATACTTGACGGAAACACCATGGACATATCCAGTAAAAGTAATCTTCTAGGAAAATATTCTAAGTAATCTAATATTTCATTGAATTTTTTTAGCCTAGGTATTTTGGTTTTAGTTTTCTTATATGCTTATTGATGAAAATGTTAAACTAAATTTTAAATTTACTGTAGTGTAGTTAGTTATCATTCTTATTTTCTGTTAATGTCGCGAATGGACACAGTTTAAAAAAATGACGTGTGTGTATAAAACTGTAAAACACAAGTTATTTTTAAAATACTAGGGTCGCTGAATTGTAGTGAGGTTTTCCATTTATGATTACAAAATAATGAAAATGGTTCTTGTTAATTATCGATCAGAAACTAATTCTAATTCTTTTTACCGCAATAGCGTAAAGCTTTTCAAATTAAAATTGCATTATTTACGATTCGGAACAGATTTTTTGTATGTAACTGGAGGTCCTGTTTGTGACAGTTTGTCAAAAAAGAAATTGGATTTTTAAATTCTCCGAAGATTTATGACTTAAAAAAAAAAAAAACATTCTACCTACATTATAATGAATTCCTCGAAATTTCATTAAAAATAATAATAATAATAATAAGTGAGTGGTAACAAATGTAAAAAAAGATATTTTTATTTTACGAAGATTTTTTTTTAAAAAAAAAAGCAACAAACTTTCTAACTAAAAATAATTTAATTCATTTGTGAACAAGTTTAAAACCCAACAATGTTTTTTTATCACCGCAAAAACGTTCAAATTTCCCAAACTAATTAATTATGGTCCAGGTAAAACGTTGACACAAGAAAAACAATTTTTAACCAAAATTTCGATCATTCCAAAAAAGGATAAAAAAAAAAAAAAAAAATAATAATTTAATAAAAATTTGGTCTTTCCTCTATTTTGTGAATAGAACGTTGTTATTCGTACTTAAAATGACCCCGTCCCATTTGATACAAAGTTGGGTTCAAGTCGAGTACTGTGGTCCGAACTAAAATGTGCATGACGTCACGAAAACATGTGAAGAATTAAATCTGTTGCGGGACCGGGCAAAGTTGATTCATTTTTTTCCTCTCACTATCCGCATTTTTTTTTTTTTTTTTTTATCTTATTTACTAATAATTGCGTATTTCAGATTTTTTTTTTTTCAAAATTTTTTATCTTATATGATAAATGGTTATTTTAACGTGTTAATTTCTTCATTCGTTCCTCATTAAGGCGAATGGCTGTGTAGTCTTCATCTCACGTTCCCATGACGTCACACACCTCAGGCCACGTGCGCTTTTCTTTTCTTTTTAAGAATAATCAAGGTTTATTTTTTTTTTAAATTTATAAAATGAAACATTATCCATCATTTTTGTACAATTCCCCAAAAAAATCGATTTAATCGGCGATGACAAATGAGTAGTTTTAATATTTTTAAAGAGATTAAAAAAAACATATGAAAAATATTTGTTTGTTTTTTATAAAAAAAACTAAAACTAATTGTTCAATAAGTCAGTGACTTTTATAAATTTAAAAAATTAACTAAATTATAAATTAGTTAATTAAAACTTTTTTAAATGTGTCTTTTCAATGACAATGCTTTCTTTTAAAAATAAGCCTGAAAAATAAAAATTGATTTTTTTTTTTTTTATAACACTAATTACATTCATTACTAAACTTTAACTAGCCTCATATTCTGGGCCTTTTTTGCGGGGCTGAGAAGTGGCGCATGATGAATAATAAAACGATATTAAATAGCAACAAATGTAATTTATTTAATTTTCAACTCTATTTATTAATTCTTTGTTTTTCAAAGTCTGGTTTGTGCTTCGTTCGGTAACCCAACTTTTTATTTTTTGTGGACTCTAAAAAAAGATTTTAATTTCCTGAAATAAATGAAAAAAGAGACTTTATTGAAATAGGTACACTAACTTCTTCGTCGCTAGTTCTCCTTTCAACTCTCATAAAAATCGGGGTTTATTTTCGTTTCTAGAACTATTTTTTCACGAATGATCAACGGCATCAAGCACTTGTTAACCAAATGACTGTTGCTTTAAAAACGGAAGTTACAAAAGTTTTCTCTTTCATTGTGTGGTGGCTCGGATGTCATTCTTTCAATCCAATACTAAAAGACATGAACAACACGGGCAATTGAATATGAAGCTAGTTACTTAAAAATAAATGTACGTGAGATTTTTAAGTCATTTACTATGAGAAAATTGTTTAGAGCGATTTAAAAAAAAGAACAATACCATTTTTCTTTTTTCTTTTTCACCGAAAAAAACCCAAAAAAGTTTGCAGTTTGCTTGATTTGTATTTTTTTTTATTCTGAATATTAAGAAAATCATGAAACTAACTGGAATGACCCATGTGTGTGGCGACGTGCCAGTTTTCCTCTGCTGCGTCAAAGCAACAAGCAGTTTTATCGGCAATCAATAACGTTGAATGAATAAATTGAATACATTTTTATTGCTTCCACCAAAACGCGCGGGTATTATTTATTCAATTAAAAAAACTATTCAATTGATCTCAATCAACTCAATCATTTGAAATTTTTTTGTTTTTTTTTTAAATTTTGTCTTTAATTAATCATTTCAAAAATTATTATTTTAATTTTTTTTTTTTTTTGTAAATTTTCATTTTAACACCCGAGCGTCATTTACTGCTGAACTAATTTCTGAAAGAAATTAGTACGCGTTTCCGTAAAGCGATTTTTTTTGTACTTAATTTAACTTTCAAATATATGTAAACATCGACAAATAAAAGAATAACAAAAGAAAAAAAAAACACCTAACTCTAATTTGAAAGTTAACTTTCTTT